GATCCTGGTGGGTTGTGATCCTCGATCGTGGACAGGTTTTGGAACCGTTCAGTGTGTTGAGAGTCAAACGCAGGCAGCGTTCTGACGTGGATTTGGGCTTCAACGCAGTGTGTGGAAGTTGAACGCAGGGATTGGAGCGGACGCGGATTGGAAGGTCGGACGGAGCGTTTATTGAAGCTGCGTTTGGAGGGGGCCTTTTGGAATAAAGCCCCTGCGTTTGGGCAGAGATGGCGTGCGTTTGGGCACGCTTGGAGCTGATGTTGAGACAGCAGATGAGGTGCGTTGAGGAGCAGATGGCAGTGGGTTTGGCAGGCTTGGAGCTGCGTTGAGCTGCGTTTGGTAGCTGAAGCTGCGTTTGGCAGGAGATGGCAGCTGGTTTGAGGCTGCGTTTGCGGCTTTTGGAGGCTATGTTTGCGTTGGCGTTGGTTGAGCGGTGCGTCTGGTGGCGATCCTGTGGTGTGCGGGGAGGACTTCCGCAGTTTTGATTTGAGAGAGACGTCGATTCTGTAGTCTCTTCTGTTGAAGCGTTGCCCAAGATCGTCATTTTGTATCTTTGCTTTAGCTCTCTGATATGTGATGAGTCGTCAGGATCTGTAACTTCCCTCATGTTGATTATGAAGGCGCTTTGATATAGCGCTCCATCAGTTGTCGTGAAGGTCGTCAGATTCTGTAACATTTAGCCCGATCTACGTGAAAGTCTTCAAATTGTAGCCATCTGGAAGTCGTCAGATTGTAACTTCCATCATCGGTGTTTTGATGGGGATCAGCTATCTATTGTGATTTTTAGACAGCCTACAACCGATTCATTCGGGTTGCGGGTTACAGGTTTGATTGTTAAAATCCAACCCGAACCGTTCGATTAAAAAACTCATCCTTATTTCTCAAATCTCCCGTTCGATTCGATCCTCAATTGACTCAAACGAAAGAAAAAAAAAGAAAAAATCCTAACCCTAACCCTAATCCTCTCTCAATCTCTCAGCGCACTCTCGTTCGATTCGATCACTTTCGCTGTTTCGACCCGGTCCCGCCGACCGCTCCGCTGTTCCGACCCGATCCCGCCGACCGACTCCTCCTTCCTCCAACTCCTCAAGTCCACCCTCCATTCCTCCTCTCCGTCCAGCACAATCACCACCACTGTCATTATCATCTCTAATTTTTAAGTTCGAACAGCAGCCCAACGTCACATTATTATCATAAATCTGATGGAGAAAGTTACAAATTATTTTAGATTGTTATTTTGTGATAGATTCATATTTTAGATTGTTAGTTGAATTTTATAAATTTTTTTATATAATAATAATTTAAAAAAAAATCCTTGTCGTATCCATGTATCCTATTTTTTGGATTTTAACGTATCCCATATCCGTGTCTGTGTCGTATCTGTGTCCCGTATCCGTATCCGTGCATCATAGTATGCCATTATGCCAGCTCCAAATTCATAATTTTTTTTGTAAACTAGAACCCGCAATTTGGTCGGTCGAGGCCAAATAATTTCTTGGATTCTCGCATATAGATATTTATCTAAGCTTCAAAATTCATGATTTCTCATGGACTATAAATCCCAATTTTGGTCGTATCGGTCAAATCATCTTCTTGCATCCTGCCCATAAATATTTGTGAGCTCTAAATTTGCAATTTCTCGTGAACTATAACTCATAATTTTGGCAGTTTTTGGCCAAGTCAATTCTTGTGTTCCAACATAAATTTGTTACGCAAGCTCCAAATTGACGCTTTTACGTGAACTAGAACCCACAATTTAGGTCGGGCCAAATAATTTCTAGATTCCCGCATATAAATATTTATCTAAGCTCTAAAATTCATAATTTCTCGTGAACTATAAATCCAATTTTGCCTGTTTTCGGCCAAATCACTTTTTGTATTCCTACATAAATTATTTATAGGAGCTCCCGAATTCATGATTTCTCGTGAACTATAACCCTCCGTCTTAGTCGTTTTCGCAAATCAATTTTTATCTTTCCTGCATAAAAATATTTATGACAGCTAACGTATTCATAATTTCTCGTGGACAATAACCAATAATTTAAATCGTTTGAGGTCAAATAGTTTACTATATTCGCACATAGAAATATTTGTGCGAGTTTCCAAATTTACGATTTTTCATAAACTATAACCCTCCATCTTAGCCATTTTCGACCAAATCAATTATTACTTTCCTGCATAGAAATATTTATATGAGCTCACAGATTCATTAAATTCTTGTGGACTATAACCCACAATTTTGACTATTTGAGACCAAATAAATTCTTGGATGCCCTTATACAAATATTTATCTAAGCTCATAAATTCACAATTTCTTATAGACTATAAACCACAATTATGGTTGTTTTTGACCAAATTAGTTTTTGCATTCCCCCATACATTATTTTTGCAAGCTCCCATTTTTACGATTTCTCATGAACTATAATTCTAATGTTAGTCGTTTCCGACCAAATCAATTCTCGTTTTCCAGCCTAGAAATATTTATGTGAGCTCACAAATTCATGATTTCTCGTGGACTATAACCCAAAATTTTTGACAATTTGAGGCTAATATTTATTGCATTCCCACATAGAAATATTTACTTGAGCCTCCAAATTCACGATTTCTCGAGGACTATAACCCATGATTTTAGTCATTTCCGTCCAAATGATTTCTTACATTCCCGCTTGGAAATATTTATGCGAGCTTTCAAATTCACAATCTCTCATAGACTATAACCTGCAATTTTGATCATTTTCAACCAAATGACTTCTTGCGCTCACATGTAGCAATATTTATTTGAACCCCCAAATTCACCATGTATAGTGGACTAACCCACAATTTTCGTTGTTTTCAGTCAAAGCATTTCTTGCATTCCTATATAGAAAACATTCTGCAAGCTATTAAATTCATAATTTCTGAAGGACTTTAAGTCATAATCTTAGTCATTTTTGGCCAAATCATTTCTTGCTTCCGCATAAATTATTTATGTCAAATTCACAATTTTTGTGGACTATAGCCTGCAATTTTGGCCATTTTAGGCCAAATAATTTCTTGCATTCTCGAATAGAAATATTTATGCGAGCTCCAAAATTCATGATTTCTAGATAACTATAACCCATAATCTTGTTTGTTTTGGCTAAATCATTAATTGTGTCACCCTATTATGTCATTTATGCGAACTCTCAAGTTCACAATTAATTGTTGGGCTATAACCCACAAATTTGGTTGTCTTAGGCCAAATAATTTCCTACACTCTCACATAAAAATATTTATGTGAGCTCCCAAATTTACGATTTTTCCTGGACTATAACCCAAAATTTTGTTCATTTTCACCCAATCACTTTCTACATTTCTGCATAAATTATTTATGTGAGCCCTCAAATTCACGATTTCTTGTGAGCTATAACCCTCAATCTTAGCGGCTTTCGGCCAAATCAATTCTTACTTCCCCATATAGAAATATTTATGTGATCTCACAAATTTACGATTTCTCATGGACTATAACCCTCAATTCTAACCGCTTTAGGCCAAATAATTTATTACTTCCCGCATAGAAGTATTTATGTGAGCCTCCAAATTCACAATTTCCCATGGACTATAACCCATAGTTTTTGTCGTTTTTCGCAAAATGATCTTATCTTGCCATTCCTGCCTTCGGACACATACTTATTCGAGCCTCCAAGTTCGTGATTTTACGTGGACTACAATTTATAATTTGGCCATTTTCAACCGAATCACTTCTTGCTCGTGCATAAAAATATTTATGTGAGTTCCAAAATTTATGATTTCTCGTGAATTATAACCCACAATCTTGGCCTTTTTCGACCATATCCACTCTTGCATTCCCACTTACAATATTCAGGCGAGCTTACAATTTCACAATTTCACAATTTCACAATTTCACATAAATTATAGCAAATTGTTTGGTTGTTTTTGGACAAATCAATTTTTACGTTCCCAGATAAAAATGTTTACATGAGCTTCCTAATTTACGAGTTCTCATAGACTATAGCCCACAAGTTTGGCCATTTTTGGCTAAATCACTTCATCCATTCATGCATAAAATATTTATACGAGCTACCTAATTCACAATCTTAACCACAATTTTGGCTATTTTCGGCTAAATCTCTCGCATTCACAAATAAAAAATTTATACAAGCTTCTAAATTCACGATTTCTCGTGAGCTATAACACAATTATGGCGTTTTCAACCCTATCACTTCTTGCGTGCCCACATAAAATACTTATTTCAGCTCGCAAATTCATGATTTCTCGTGGACTATATTCCCATAATTTCGGCCTTCTTGGTCAATCACTTCTTGCCTTTCCTCATAAAATATTTATACGAACTCCCAAGTTCACGATTTCTCGTGGACTACCATCCACAATTTTGGTTGTTTTTTACCTAATCACTTCTTGTGTTGCAGTAGAACAATTTATGTGAGCCCCTAAATTCATGATTTTTCATGAATTATAAGTTTATAACCCACAATTCTGGCTATTTTGGCCAACTAACTTTTCATGTTCCCGCATAATAATATTTATTTGAGCTCCCAAAGTCATGATTTCTCCTAGATTATAACCTTCAATCTTTCTCGTTATCAGCCAAATCAACTCTTACATTCTTACATAGAAATATTTATGTGAGCTCCCAAATTCACGATTTCTCGTGGATTGTGACCCCATATTTTGGTCATTTTAGACAAATAATACCTTGCATTACTGCATAAATAATAGCCTTCTATCTTTAGAAGAAAAACGGCTAAGATTCATGAACAAATAATTTCTTGCAATTTAGTATGAATCTCATTGTGATTTAAATAGTATTGTAGTTTTAATTTTCAGAAATTTCCATTTTCTAGGATTTTGTATTTGATTGATGCATATAGCCTTCTATCTTTAGGATTATCTAGATGCGATAAGTGCTAAAATTTCGTATCATCTGTGGTTCATTTACATTAATCATTCATCTTCTTATTTATCTTCTGCTACATCATATTGTCAGTGTCAATAAAATCCTAGTAGAACTTCTTTGTTGCCTCATTACCCTCCACAGTTTGCTTTTACAGTCCCCAGGCATAATATAATCAAAAAATACTATACATCGGGCTAAGAAAAATATGCTTATTTAAGGAAATTAAGGTAATTCTAAACACAATGTCTTGTTCATTTCACAAATAAGCTTACCATTAAGTCTCTCCATGCACATAATTTCCATAGAAGTTCCTGAAATAAAATAAATGGATACTTATAATAAGTAATGACATATTGAATCAACAGTTTATATTTCCTAAAATCCCGATCCAGGAAGTCGGAGGTTAGGAATTACTTTAATTTCAGAAGTTCTCAAGGGTGTAAGTCCTTGAATGTGCAAATTTCGAGAGTATATAGATGCTGCAGCTGAAGCTCCAGGAGTAGATTCGATATCTTTTGCATAAAGCTGCAAGCAAACCATATTTGAACGGCGAGTGGCCTCGGAGAATAAATTGAATTTATCATCGGGACAAGCTGTAATAATGGGATGAATTGTGACAGAGATCAGATCAGTTCGATTCAGTCTATTAGGGAAGTGAATGGCTATGGGTCAGTCCTCCAAGACAAAGTTTATCTAGTAATAAATTCAAAAGAATCAACTATACGAATAAGGATAAATAGCTGAGAGCCCTTTGGGTTTCCATAGAAAATCCAACTGTTTTATCCGGAGTGTAGAAAGCTTTGTATTGTTCTAATTTTTATATTTGGACTACAGGGACTAGGGAGACTTTCTTCAAACTCTAAGCTAAAGTATAGATGATTTCCAACAAACCTTCCTATTGTTATATATTTCTCATATCCAAGACATAATTATATCTTGATTTTTCAGAATTTGCAGTGTCCACAAAGCCGTGTCTTTTCTTCGCATGTACACTATCCATATCCACACCAATGCAATACAGCTATTGGTTAAGGTTAGAGTAAATGTTACAAAAACAGAGGTGGGATTAGCAGATTAACACAAAAGTGGCAATGGTATCTTTCTGAAACAAAGTCAGCATGTATGCTAACAATCATATTTGACAGAGATTCACATTATGCGCCCCCCAAGAACCATCCCTGACAAATAACCCACTGAAAAACTATCATAGTTCATCATAGGAAAGGTAATACTTCTCAGATTAGCTATTGAGGCTTCATAAATAACTTTTATTGAATGAAACTCCAAATACATTATTAACAATAAAAATAAAATACATACCAAGATTTTCATTTCTGAGCTCAGAAGATAAGCAATCAGCAATATATAGCAAGTAATAAGCATCAGTACGAGCATATTGAATCATCTCTGGTGATAACGGACGTAATCTCCAGTCCTCACGCTGCAATAGCATTATATTAACAAAATTAACAAAACTATAATTTACTAGCCAATACAGGCTATACAGCCATTCATAAACTAAACATTTAAGTATTGTTTGAGAACTTAACAGTGTGCTATTGATAATTGGTATAGTCTAATAAAATTCTTAGTAAAACATGATCTCATCTAAAGAGATCTTCACTGTAACCGATCTATCCGGTAGCTTCACACCAAACATTGCAACAACATGTTGCTTCTCGAAGTCACCAACCCTACTCTAGACATGTCATGATTCAATTTTGTGATCTAGAGATCTAACCTTAATTTAGATATGCTGGATACATTAATGGATTCTGATCTGAGACATTTTGTTTTATTCAAAACAACTCTTGTATCACATGAACCTCAACCTTACCCATTTGTCTAATATCTGCTTTTCATCAGTATATGTTTCCATCTTATAATCCATATCCGTATTCCATTTTGGTGGATATGGACTATGATGTCCATAGCCCATCTTCATATATCTATCCATGATTAGTAAGTGGACACGGATGTGATAAGTATCATATCTGATCCATTTGCACCTCTAAATTTAAACTAACAGATGATATAGTGCTAAAGATAAAGTGGAGGAAACTGAAACCTGGAATCTCTTGTCAGTTGATACTCCACAATATGCCTCAAGCAAGTATGCCAATGATTTCTGTGGTCTTGATAGAACCTCACATGCCTGCAATGACATATAAGATAAAAGGAAAGAAATCAGTATTTTTTATAAATCCCTCAGATCTAATGACTATTAACAAGGAGATAATGTATTAATTTGAAAGTATATAGCAGAGAAAAGGCGTGGCACTGATTGCACAAATAATGTAACCATGAGCATAGGCATGTTAAAATAAAAATTTAATGCATGGAATTCACAAATGCTTAAAGCAGGTGTTTGGTGTGGTGTGGTGTGTGTGTGGGGGGGGGGGGGGGGGAGCTGGTATCAAACCGCCAAAAAATAGATTAATCACATTATAGGAGAAGAGTGTCATGAGCTGTAGAGTTAATTCATTTGACCAAATGAGAGACCTGATTGTCATCAACTAAATCCACCCTATCATGCTTGTATGCAGCTGACAAATCGGAGATGCTTGAATGAAAATCCTCAGTGACCAGTGAAGAGATGAAGCGATCTCTTTTTCATCTTAAGGCCATGCTGCTCACGCAACCATCTGTCTGAGTTTTAGGTTTTGTCTATGTGCTGGACATTTTTAAGACATCTAATGATGCTTTAACTAATAAAACTAACATCACAATTTAACTGCAATTTAATGAAAAGGAGGGACTTATCTTATTGTTCCTTTGAACGCTCAGTGATTGTTACACTTTTGGGGGGTTTCCTTTGAATTTTCTTTGATGATTTCGCTTTTGGGTTTAAAAATGACTGTTGACCTTCATACCACTGCATAAAAACTTTGAATGTTGTGATAAACTCCTAGCAGGTTTCGACCTTCTTCATGGCCCCAGATCTGGACTGTGTGTAACAATTATTTTGTTTAGTTAATCCAGTTAATATGAACACCCAGCTATACTTGCCCTGGGGCATCTATTTAACACCACTTGCCACTGCACCAAAACAGGCAATTGTTTATAACTCTGACATGCTGGGTAGGAGGATGAGATATAGGCATATGTTTAGAACTCTGATATGTCAGTAGGTGGGGTTGACTGGGGTACTCACTTGCACACACTTAGCATTCTACGAACAAATTACATGAGTACAGATCTCACGTATCAGCAGTGTCTAGCTTATTTCATTGATTAAAATTAATCTATCTTGGAGGCTGATTAAACTCCCTAATTCCAACTTATCTTGAGATCGTTAACTGGTTGCAGAAACATACAAGGACCAGTATCTAAATGGCGTTCTAAGAATCAGATTCACATCTAGAGATATATTCAAATTCGTCTATATAAAGCGTATTAACATCAGTTATGTTAGCATATGACCATTACATGCCTTAGCAGTATCGAACATGTTCACAACGTATATATGAAAGTCTCTCTGAAGCCAAAGAACATCATTATCAGCTCCGTGCAATACCTGCAGAATCAAGAAAAGTCATCCTGTAAGAATATTTTGAAGTCATTCATGAAGTTTGCACTTTCAAGTTATCAATAGTGAAATGGATTATAATCATACACTAGGCAAGAGCAACTGTATTTCAAACAGATGCAGGGTATAAGAAATAAAAACAGATGCTATCACAGATGCAGGGTATAAGAAAAAAAAAACAGATGCTATCTCAACAAATTGTGCACATGATTACAGTGGATAAAACAACTTCACACTTTCTGAACAGTAGTGACCCTAGTAAATAACTAGAATTTATATGCAATCGAATACCGTTATGGTTAAAACATGCCTTACAAATAGAAGGATCAGCAAAAACAGGCCGGAGAATGCCCATTGCATCATGTAAAGCAATTGTGTCCAGTAGGAAATCCTCCTTTTGAGTTGAAATCTGTTAACCACAATGTTAAAATGAGGACAAAGTTAACGCACAGCACCCCAAACGAAGGAGATAAATATAAAATATATGGCTCGACTCTTGCCTGCATTAGAGCAGTAAATCCAAGAAATGACCGCAAACTATGTTGTTCCGTATCGACAGCAAAGGCCTGTTCCTTGCTAAGTAAGCTCACTACAGTCTGTAGTTGATCCTCTGTGTCTACCCAAACATAGGAATCACCCATAGCTGAAAGTTCACGATTTACAATAAATTCCATTGAGGTGGGAGGGTTCTCCATCAAAAAGTCGATCTCTTCTTCATATGGATGCACTTTCAAAGAGATTTCTAATAAGAAAGTTAATAACTTTTTCAATTAGAACTTCTCAAATAACTAACTTCCTATGAAATTGTTGCAAAGATTGTACCTTTTTCTTTGCCCTCTCGCTTATAGTGCTTGAAAGGAGAGTAGGAGTTATCGGCGAGCACGCGCTTGAAACGATTCTGAGGCTTCTCCTCGAAAACTCCAGTCGGCATCGCCGGACGGCGGCGCTGCTCCCGCCTGCGACCGCGGTAGCATGCCGAAACGGCGATTAGAGACGCCGCTGCTGCAGCGATGCAGAGGAGAGTGAGGGTTTTGGTCTCTTCTCTGCTCACCATTTCAAATTCTAGAAGCTCTTCGGCGTTTTGGGGAAGTTGGAAATGGAGGTAAGAAAAACCCTACGAATTTGAACAGGAAGTGAGTTACGTTTCCGAATCGGATTCTGGGTTCAGATTTCGGATCCCCCAGCTTGGATTTTGTTTTCTTTGAATAAGGGCAGGGTTTTTTCAGGTATTAATCCCTTACATCTTTAGTAATTTTAAATAATCCCTTAAAATCTTAGAAATTGCATATTAGACGCTCAAATCCTATACGTCTCGTTTGGTACGCGGGAATGAGGAGGAATGGAATGCAATTCCCACTTCTCATTCCCTCATACCAAACACACCTATATTTTAGATGTTGGAATGACTATTCCCTAGAAGTGATCATTCCCACTATTTGTGGGAATGAGCATTCCAAGTGAGAAGATAAGGAATGGTCATTCCCATTCAAGTGAGAATCAAAAACTAGTTAGGTATTTTTCAATTATATCCATATTAATAATAAAGAATGTTTGGGTGAGGCGCTATGCAAGTAGGCAATTTTAGATTGACAATTTAGGCTAGTATATCATTTTGCTATTTCGAAACTTATTATTTTAGTTGGTATTGTTTTATGGATTTTTGCTATTATGAATTGAGTGATTTTGATACTTTATCAAATAAGTTAATTTATATATCTAAAACTGTGGATTGTGGATATCATTCTTTTTTTTTTGGACCTATGAAAGATACGATAATCTTTTTTTTTATTTTTCTTTAATTTTTAAGACTAAGAAATAGCGAGTATTGTTTAAAAAATATAAACGAAACATACACCTGATGGATAACACGAGCATTAGTATAACACATACCTAGATTAATATAACATATGCGTATATAAAATTATTTAGTTATTATCATTAATGTTTATTTTTTATCTTATTAAAAATCTATGTTGTTGTAAGGGCATTATTAGAAAATGAGATTTCATTCTCACTTGTGTACTAGTGATACCAAACATGGGAATGGGAATGAGATTTTCATTCTAGCTTCATTCTACGAACGCACCCAAACAAGAGAATGAGAATGACCATTTCATTCTCACATGCAATTCATTCCATTCCTTCTTCCATTCCATTCCCAAGTTTGTCCATTACCGCGTACCAAACGAGGCGATAGGTCTCGTTTGGTACGTGGGAATGGAGTGGAATGGAATGGTCATTCTCACTTCTCATTCATTCCTACCAAACACACCCTCTTTTTTGAAGTTAGAATTAGAATGTTCATTCTCACTTCTCATCAATTCCCACTTTATGTGGGAATGAGCATTCCCAATGAAATGATAGCGAATTGGCATTCCCACTTAAATGTGAATCAAGAAAATATACAATTTTAAAATACGTCCATTCCCACTTTATTTTATAATTTACACTCAAACGTGAGAATGAGAATGACTATTCCATTCTCACATTAATTCCATTTCATTCATTCTTCCATTTCATTCTTATTTGAGTCCATTCCCGCGTACCAAACGAGGCGATAGGGTCTTGCAAAATGGTCCTTCAAGTTAAATCGTGTTAGATTTGATAGGAATATTCTATCAAACTGACGATTAGAGGTAAAAATGACCATCTTACCCCTCTATTATGTTCCTGATATAGCTACATTTACTATAATAGTACCGTCGACTCACCACTAATTACCTTCCTAGCCTTATTATACTCCTACTACTATAGTACGTACCCATGCGATACTACCGGCGCCACTGACCCTAACGCTGCTATACTACCGAGTAGCCGGTATACCGTTATGGCCGACACACGACCAAGTGACATCTAATGTGACAAACCCTAGGTTTCCCCACCTAAAGGAGCGGCCTAGAATCACATCATGTGACCCTACCGATAATTTTTTTACGATCCGCTCCCGTTGAACTTTGACTCACAGCCGTTCTTAAACCTAAACAGAATCAAGTTGGGGTGACCCCGTCATGTTTTCAGGATGACCTTTCATCCACGCCCCCTCGCCGGCAATTTCAGCGGTTTCGAATGAATACGAACATTTGTTGGACCACTCAACGAATGGTCAAGAACAGCAACGGGTCTCAGGCCCAAAATTAGTGTGTTTGAGTATTAAGATCGTATTAGATCGAAGTCAACGGAGCCGGATCGTAGAAAATATAGGGATGATGTGATTTTAGGCCGGGCGGTCCTTAGGTGGGAGCCTAGGGTGTCCACGCTTTATGATTCACCCCTTTTCCCATATATATACGCTCTACTAGTATAGTGACCCATATACCCATATATATATATCATAACGCACCTACCTATACGCTGTGAGCGACCCGCCTTTCTAATAAAAACGTGCATTACCATTTTAACGAACACGTTTTTCACTGCAGTGAATCCATACTTGTGTTCGTTGAGGTAGTTAATGCATATAATTAATGCATGTTTTGTTGACTGTTTGACTGATTCCTAGCCATTGACTCCACGCCTCGCCTCGCCACGCCACGCCTCGCCCGCACGCGCGCGCCACGCCACGCCGCACCGCACACGCACATATTTTTGCTTCTCAAGCTTTTATTTTTGCACGTTGTACACGTTTTGTAACGGCTGCATGCGGGTAACGGAAGCAAGATTTGTGCGTAACGGTTCCTTGGATTCAGCGGGGGTTACACTTCTCCTCACCTATATAAGCAGGCTTGGAGCTCATTCATAAGCACACCAACGAAGATAAGCTCTCTTCTTTCTCTACTCTCATTTCTCCAAGAAATTTCGGCTACATATTTATATTCATTTTTTGGACAACCGTTTTCGTCTGAGCATAAGCTCTGTGACTCACGCCTGAGTGCAGAGGCCGGCCGATTTCGGGGATTTTTACCGCTAGGGGAGAGGGGACAAACTGCGCCAGGGCGATAGGCGGGTTCTTAATCTTCTAGGGCAATGACATCACGACTTCTCCCGATCAGGCCTGAATTTTCTAACTCTTTGATTTGGATTTTATATTATCATATTCCTATTTTGACAGCAATCTAGAAGATTAACCAAAATTTCTTGCTGTTTATTTTAATTTTAAAAAAAATTTAAAAAAGTGAAAAAAAATTTACTGTTCATCGGGATTACTGTTCACCCGAATCTTCATTGTAATTACTTATTGTATTAGTTAATTGTTTTAATTTGTTGCATCTAAATTAGTTTAAAAAATATTCTTTGCTGTTTCTGTACTCAATTTCTGCATCTGTCACTTTTCATATATATATAGTAAAGAAAAAAAATCTTTAAGTGAACCGGTTTAAGTTTTCTTGGATTAGTTGGTGTCTAAGGCAATGTTTAAGGGTTGCGTCAAGCGCTCTGCAAGAAACGCAAGTTTTCTTGGATTAGTTGGTGTCTAAGGCAATGTTTAAGGGTTGCGTCAAGCGCTCTGCAAGAAACGAGGTACTTAATAGATCTTTGATCAACCTCTGCAAGAAACGAGGTACTTAATAGATCTTTGATCAACCTCTAGTACTATCCTTACCTGGCCAAACTACCCAAGTAAAACTTTTATCTTTTCACTTTCAGAGTTTAATTTAAAGCAGGTTTAATTAAGTTTCTGGTCGAGTAATATTGATAAAATCCTTTATTATATCTGATTCCATCTACCTAGACTAGTAAACTTGAATTGGACTTATGGCAATTCCTGATCATTCAAAAAGTGTCAAACCTGAGAAGTTCACCGGTGTTAACTATAAACAGTGGGCTAATCAGATGAAATACTGGCTCACTACCTTAGGTCTTTTATCTGCTATTGACACTTCTAAGTCATCTACTAGTGGTTCTCAACCTTTGACTCCTGATCCTGCTCAGCTTGCTCCTTCCACTTCTGGTTCTGGTGCTAGCTCCTTTTCTAGCTCTATGAAACCAGAAGAAATCAACTATCATTGTTGTCATAGGATTCTTAGTGTACTTGCGGACAACCTTTATGACATATACTATGAGTTCAAATTCTTAGTGTACTTGCGGACAACCTTTATGACATATACTATGAGTTCAAAAGTGCAAAAGACCTATGGAGTGCTCTTGAAGCAGAATATGGCTATGATGATGCCAGAATTCTGCGTTTCACCTCCTCCTCCTTCAATAAGTTCATGATGGTTGATGACAAGCCCATTAATGAACAAATTCATGAATTCCTAGATTTCCTCCGTCATCTCCAATCAAAAGGAAACACTTTTACTGACGATTATAAAGTTTCATGTTTGATTGATAAACTTCCTCCCTCCTGGTCTAGATTTGCTGGAGATCTCCGACACAAGCAAGGAGATCTAACCTTAACTGAAGCCCTCAAGGCTATTCGTATTGAAGACCAGCATAGGCAAAATTCCAATACCAAGAATGAAACAAAAGCTAAAGTAAACTTGGTAGAGGATAAGCCTAAATCTAAGAATTTCAAACCCAAAGGAAAGAAATTCAAGAAAAATCAACAATCTTTCAACAAATCTTCCTTCAAACCAAATCTCAATTCTTCCAGCCATAAGTCCGATGGAAAGTTCTGCTTTGTCTGTGGTAGAACCAACCACATGGCTCCCAACTATTTCTTTCGGAAGAAGGAACCGGCTAAACCTGCTCCTAAAGGAAATGGATCCAACAAAGTTAAAATGATTGAAATGATTCCAACCTCTTTCAGATTAGCCTCTTCATCTCATCTTGTAAATTCTATAACTTCTTCCACTGATTGGTATTTGGATTCCGGAGCAAATATCCACGTTTGTAATGATCGCTCTTGGTTTTCAAATTATCAGGAATCAAGTGGAGGAAGCATAAGCTTAGCAGATGACTCCACTAAATCAATAATAGGAAGTGGACGTATAGAGCTCACCATGACTTCTGGGAAAGCTCTTCATCTGCAAGGCGTTTATCATGTTCTTTCTCTCCGTTGCTATCTGATTAGTGAATCTCTTCTTCTTAGAGCTGGTTATAGGATTGTAAAAGAATCCAATAAATTTGTGATTACAAAGAGTAACATTTTTATAGGAAAAGGTTTTATCTGCAATGGCCTTTTCAAACTCAATGTAATCAATTCCAGTTCTAATGAAATTTTTGAGTCTTCTGTTATACAAATTGTTGAATCTTGTGATGTCTGGCATGGACGACTTGGACATGTCAATTTTCAAACCTTGCAGAGAATGATTAAATTAAACCTTATT